TGCTGATGTTATCTGCTATGCTAGTGCACAAATAAGTAAACACGTCAAAGTCATGTTGGCTACAACACTGTTAAACCCAGGGTGGAAAAAATAATGAATGTTTGCCAAAAAGACAAAATTAGCAGGGAAAGCTTCTAAGACAGTATACAAACAATAGAGTGTGGAAAAGCAATTAAAACACTGAACGTGTTATTTTTACATTTAAGGAGAAGCGTGTAAACTGGTAAATAACAAGTAAGTGAGCTGAAAAGAACAGAATAAGCAACTGTAACATAAGCATATATTTATAAGGCACCTAAAACTTTGTACTAACTGGCTGTGCTTGTTAGATTAAATTAAGAGGGAAAATACACAGAACCAACCCCAAAAGGGTCAAATATGAAATATCAGTCAGCAGGCGAAATGCCAGGAAATTCCAACCTCCATAGTTAATAAAGAACTGAACAAAAAGATGAGCCTTAGATCGTTCTGTAAAACAAGAAGGTTTAGGCATATTAAAATGTATTTTTTTACACAAATTAATTCCAGAATGGATGTTTCCTTAGTGGGTTGGGCTGAGCTACCAAGCTTCAGCTTGGTACATACAAAGTTGTTCCTGCTCGGCACAAGGGCAAGAAAACTAGCTAAAACTTTGTAAGAGTAGTTATTCCAGTCAGCTGTATTATAAAAGATTTCATAACTCTAATGTTAGATTTCACAATTTTAGAGTACTGTCCAAAGGTCATTAATAATATATCATCGGTTGCTAGTTGGATATGTTTGTAACAGTAGTTAATGCGTGCAGAGGTTGCAAGGCATGTAAGAGTCCAGCAAAGGCAATGAATGGAAGCAGAAAATGTTCAACTGAATTGAGATGCTATGTCCTAAGTTTTCTTATTCAACATATTAATGTGTCATCACTTTTCAATCTATTAAGCAACCACACTCATATCAGAATAATGTCTCTAAATAATATAAAGTAACAACACACATAATGAATACCTTGACCTGTCAGTTCTTTCAGGACCAGGCATATTTTTCGGAACTGCAAAGCTTTAAGCCAATTACATCATTAACTGCTTCTTAGTAACTTTTATTAATCTCCTCTTAATGCCTTCATTTTCTATTGTATTTTTAGCAGCTAAGAACAACTTCATAGCTAAAGAGGAGCAAATCAGCTTCAAAGACTGTGCTGAAGCTTTCAAATCTGGACTGACAACAAGTGGAATCTACACTTTAACAGTTCCAAACACTGCACAAGAAAAGAAGGTAAGATGGCTATAAAGTGCTACCTAGGCATACAGTGTGTTAAAAAGTTATTTGATCTGGTAAAGATGCTATTTTAAAGGCTAGTTAACAGTGAAGTTTATTACTTACCATGTTTTTTTTATGAGCTTTTTATCACTTACAGATCTGAGTGTCTCACAGGAAGAAGAAAGTCCTTCAGGTGAAATCTTGGCTCAGTTGAAATGAATGAGTGTTTCGTTGTTCACTTCAGCATGCCAGAATTTCACTCTTTGTTTCCACATAATTAATGCAATTAAAGCAATATAATACTGTGATTTCTTTATAAAATCTCTACCTCCAACACAGTTGCTCTGGGTGATCAGCAATCTCCTGTCTCCTCTAATTTCTTAGTTCCTTCATATGCCCAAGTCCCTTCAGGTGGCAAAAGGAAGAAAATCAGGGGCATGGAAGCGTACTCATGGATGTGTACTCATGCAAGCTATCTGCTAGTTCTGGACTCGTGTATAGGTTCCAGTTCTTTGTTTTGCAGAGTTTTAAGGGCATTTGTGTAACAATTATATTAGCAATTAGATCAGCACAACTGACACTGGGTAACAGAGAGGACTTTCCTGGAAAATACTGCTCTGATTTAAATAAAAGGTGAGAGTTTGCAGTGGTTTCACTCGATCAGTTTAAATTCCTCTATGGATATTTTTTTCCCCTATGTGTTTAGCTGAAATGAACTTCAATGTCAATTAATGTTAAAGCAATAAACCGTACCTCTACTAGAAGAGACCTTGAGCTAAAAAAGGCACTCAGTGGATGAAACACTGGATGCCTGACAGAGATGCTCCATCTACTGAAGTAAAGAAAATGATGAGGCTTCAGATAGTATAATTTAGTTGAAACAATCAATAAAATCTGAAAGGGAGAAAAGTCCCAGGTCGATTGTGAGGATAAAGAACCAAAACCTGCAGTGGGCATTCTGAGAAGTGGGGCTCAAATGATGAACATTTGTTTCCAACTTTTCAGACACAGGAGGATGAGGAGGCTAAGGCACATGTGAATATAAACAAAAATGCTTAATATATTTCTTATACAAACACTAAATAATTTTCTAACATTTTTATTTTATAATTTCATATTGTAGGCATTTCCTTACAAAAAAGGAAGTATTTTATGGAAATCCTAAGGCTCCACTTTATTATGTCAGAAATACTTAGGGGAAAAGAAACCTAAGAGAAAATGTATGAAAGCAGAGAAAAATGAGGGCACATGTGGAAAAGCAATTGGTAAAACTCTGACAGGGAAAGCATTTTTTCCCCAAATTTTGATAGCAAAGGCTTAGAAATTAAGTTCACCAGTGACTAATCTTTGAAGTGCCAGAACTTCATCTAGCCCAGCCCAGACTTTGTGATCTTTACCCTTACAAAGCTCTCAACTAAAGGAAATAAGGAATTTGTTTGGGTAAGATCTATAAAATACAACATATAAACCCTGTAATTTTTGCAGATATCATCTAGAGAAATGATGATATCTGCAGTCTTTTTTCTCTTGGGGAAAAAAAAAAGAGGCTGGTTTTGCTTTGGAATCGTCTAGTCTGTATTGAATACATCTGTTTCACAAGAAAATTAGTTACATGAGATGCAATAAAGTGTTTTATTACACATGAAGCAGAATGGTACTTAAGTAGCATAGATATCTACAATCATGATTCTAAATGCTAAAGGAGATGCAGGCTGCTGCGTCTCTAAAGTAATAGACTGCAGCAGTCTGTTAGACATCTCAGGAAGGGTTACATTCCTTGAATATTACTTGTCTTGAGCTTTTACCTTTGGTTTTAATTTTACTATGAAATATAATACACCGAGCATGCATATTTTCTAAAAGTAGACACAAGTGCATGCCATATTACAGAATAAAAATTTCTGTCATAAATTTTAGCACTGCATTTTCAAAGCCATAAATGTTTAGGTAATTTATATGCTCTGAGAAGCCAGAACAATGCACATTTATACAAAACTAAAACCTACCAAAATATTTGATCCCTGAAACAAAAGTACAATTGCAAATTTCCTGGACTATAAAATATTAAATGCTTTACATTTGAACATAGAGGCTTAAAACACTTAATGAAAATACCGATTTTGGTAACTGACTAGGTTAAAAAAAAGTAGTTAAAATGTCATAATTGAATTAAATTAGTAATACATTTAATAATATTAAAGAATTATAATCCTATTCTGCCCACGTTCGGATAGCATGAAAAAGACATTAAAAAGACAGCAAAGGTTTTACTTATTATATGACATGAAAAATAAGAGACTGAAAAGTTTTAATCTGATGCAGATTTTTTTATACAAATACAAATGCATAAGAGGAATTGTCAAGGGAAGTGAAGGTTTAGGGATAATCAACACGTTACACCATTTTCAACTGTTTATGATGTGGATGGCCACTCGGACCAGGAAACAGAATGACCTTTTTTATTTGCCAGAAGTGCTGCACTGCTGTTTATGTTTTTGTCTTTTCCTCTTGTAACACCTTCTGACCTCCCAACAGGCTTATAAACAACTTCTGTGTAATCTGTAACTGATCCCACTTTACTAATTTGTCTCCCATCATAATCCAAAACTAAAGAATTGCATACGAGAGCTGAGAGGAAAACAATCATTTCATTCCATTAATATTTTCAAGCTCTCAAGCTTTCCTGTTCTGCACCAGGACAAAAGCTAAGTCCTTTTAAAAACACTGAGGAAAAACAGCAAGAGACTGCTGACACAAGGAAAAATGGCAGAGGCAAACCCATGAAAAGTCAATAGCTTCATGTTTACAGCAGTCACCTGAACCAATTAACCTCCTGGTCTTAACCAGGCAGAATAGTTGAGTCTGGATGACCCTAATATATTAGCTCAACTGTTACCACAGCTATTACCAACAGATTACCCCAAATCTTAAAATAGTGGCTGAAGCAGTGGCTAAGTGCTTCCCCATTTCCACCCTTGTTGAGCTGAATTTGCATCCCAGAACTGACACACATTCCAAGTGAAGGCCTTTTTAACCAGAACTTTATTGCAGAAAGGGATTTGGGCAAGTTTGAATTTACCAACAAAAATGGTTTTGCATAACTTCCCTAAAAAGTACCATCCAGGCAACTAGCTAGTCATTTCAAAAGGAGCCCATGCCATGGACCTTACGTCTAAAATACACATACGCAAATTGTTTCCAACCCCAAACATTAAAAAAGAGCATATGTGTAGCTTCTCCGATACAGTAAGAGGTCAGATGAGGGGTTTTTTTTGTGAATTTTAGAAGTCTCATCATCTGTCTTTTTCACTGGTAACTGATATTAGGTTAAATTACATTATAAATCACGCGTGTAGTTATTTTTTCCAGAACAAGGAAACTAAGACCACAGTTCTTAGCATCATGACCTAGAAGTGTTCAGACAATAGCCAAAAGTGATGCAAAGGGAAACTGCACAGATGTGGCAACTGCATTTGTTTTGGTATAAAAACTGTAGTGGATCTTCATCCTGATCATTCAGACAGAGCCTTATCATTCAGAAAGCAGGTCTGAAAACACTTATACCCCAAATATCCTAATGTACAAGAAAAAAGAAAAAAAATTACTTGCTCTGAAACTCAACTTTCTAGACAGTGAAGACATCAAATTGACTGCTCACAGCTTACGTGCTTATAATCTTTGGAAAAGGGGCTACTTCTGGTTACAAATACCTTACAGCATTTTCAAAAATACAGCACTGATCTTTAGCTGAAGGTGAAAAATATAAACAGCTGACCTTAGCTCTCACAGTGCTACAGCTGCTAGAACTGTAAGTACTGAAGCAGTTCACAAGATAAATCAAATATTCCCACTGCCAATTTGTTGTAATTTGAGAGGCTAATCTCTTTATTCTTTTTGGCATCTGTTTGAAGACTCCTGCTGCCTGCCTAATCTTGGTATCTATTTTTACTAGTTTTATGAAATGTTACATTTCTTCCTTTTGAATATAAAACCTAAGCTAGGCTGAAAGGTCAGAAGAGTTCTGTTCTAGTAATGAGTGTTAGAGAAAGCCTCATATGCATATCATTTTACTGGAGAATGAAGACTTTTTTAAAAAAGAAGTTATAGTCCAAATAAATGTTTCCTCTCCCCTCATCTTTCACATACATCATGAAGAAATTGTTCCCTCTGCAGACTGACACAGCAATTTATTGTGTTTATTTTAAATGAAGCAAATCCTTTCCTTAATCTTCATTTTACTGAATAGCCTATTTCCATCCTTAAAATTACTTATGAATATGCATCATTTGCTTAATTATTTTTAAGAAAAAGTAGTAAAAACAGATAGAACAGCTTATTTCATGAATTATCTTTCTTTTAATTTTTCTTCATTGACTTGATTCTTTCCCAAATTAAAAATCGAGTGTGTATGTAAATTTGAAGTTTCTAGTTTTACAGTAAGTATTTTCATCTTGTTTAGTCAGAGAACTGATTTCTAGGGAGATGATCTGGAAAGCAAAGGAATGATTTCATGAGCAAAGCTGCATATGTGAGGGCTGGAAAGGTAGGGTTCTGGATTGCCAGTCAAGCCTGAAAGCAAAACATTTCACTGTACGATGCTTACCTAATGGATGGTAAAAAGAATGTTCTCTTTTTAGCTAGTTCAAGGGAGCAAGTGTGCAACCACGAAGTACAGAAGTTAGAAACCATACACTGAAATCTCAAACAACAATAATCTTCTCATCTTTTAAAACAGTTACTATGACACTAGACGGAGAGGATGTAACCAGTACATGCCCTTTGCCTGTGCCACACTTTCCACCCAAGAAAGAAAAGGATTTCCTTTCCAAGGCCATAAACTGGCATGTTTTAGAAGCACTTACTGACATGAAATTTTTTGGCGTGGAAAAATTATACTCCCAGATTTACATAAAATTTACAAAATTGTTACTGGTAAGAAAAATCTCTGTGAGATTTTTATGGACTTCTCCAATTTCTTATTATGTGTTTCAGTTCCTGCTAAATTGCTTCTCCCTTTGGGAACAAATTTGCAGTACCTCAGCATTTATCCCAAAGAGTCTATAGTGTCTGTAGTGTCTATAAAAGCTAGATGTCTTGCCATTCACTTACAAAATGGATACTGGCTATAATAGGAATATTTTATGTAAGACATTCACAGTCATTCACTGTTTGAGAATGTTTTAATCTCACTAGAACTAAATAAAGTGCTATTTTAAGGCATTTATATCTTCAAAGTAGTAATTCCAGCTGAATTGAAATGTAGATGATAGACCTCAAGGATATTGTATGTAACATTCAAAACCATCAATTAATGTCTACAATAGCAATATTAGACTGGACCAGTGGCCCATGTAAATTAATACCCAGCCTCTCTTTCTAAGTAGTTAAAAACTACATGTTTCAAAGAAGGGTGTAACAGTTCTATTCTCAGTTTGGCTGCTTATACTGTCCTTTCAGTGGGGTGAACCTTCAGAGTCAACAACTTTCTCTACAACCAGTGATACCTGACCATTCTTAAACCAGCATTTTAACTCGCAGAGTTGCTTAATAAAGGTATCTACATCTGCTTTAGCCTATCCCTAGTATCCCTCTTCATAGCCTCCTGTGGAAATTCATTTTCATGTATCCATTACACATCACATGAGTTAGTTTTCTAGAATGGATTGATCAGCTTTTACAATATCTTACATCTTCAGCCTTTTTATTTATAAAAATAAACAATTTTTATTTTTACTAAATTTAATTTATATACTGTTACCATATCTTTACCAGTCATTAAATAGAGAGGTTAGTAAAAACAAACAAAAACCAAGCTTTGAGGTGCAAGGAATTGCATAGAGCACTACAAATTAAAGTTGCTTTCAATTAAATTCCATTCACATGACGGACTTTAACAAGTAATCCCTAATCCAACTCTTTTTCTTCGTTCTTTTATCTTTCCTAAAAATCTCCAGTTGAGTGTCTCACAGTTCTCTGCTGTTGAACAAAGACTCTAGATGCAACCTTAAAATACAGTATCTGCTTTGTATTTCCAATGTGTTACAGCCTGTTGAGACACTAATGTGTTTAATACTTGCAGCTCTGAGGGCTTGCTTTCCCTTCAAAAGTCTGATGCCTTTGAACAGTATACATGCCACTGCTTGCATTGTAAATAACCTGCTTCATTTGTATGAATGCATGTATGTGTGTGTCTGTAACATAAGTACAATACACATACACAGAAATACATGCATACTCTTAAAAGAGCCAGCTGTGTTGAAAACTTAGTAAGGAGCTCACTTTACTTCCTAAAATGACACAAAAGACTGCCACAGGACAGAAGGAAACTCTCGCTTCCCTGAAGTCATACTTTTTCAATTAATTTTGAGTACGTCTAACAGTTCAAAGAACTCAAATCTGCTAACACTGGTAAGATAATCTCCTATAGAAAAGGATGAAAAAGACATACAACTTCAGTGTCATTCAGTCATGATTTGGGGCATTTATAGGCACATTGTGACAAGCAGCAGTAATAAGTTAGGTAAGAAGGAAGACCACTAAGAGATTTTTTTAAACAGAGAAGGAAACCTCCAAATTCATAATGAAATGCTCAGGTCTAGGTGTCTTTTTTTGTTGTGTGTGGGGGGGCTTTTGTTGTTGGTTTTGGTTGGTTTTTTTTTTTTTTTTTTATTAATCTGTACAGATGAGAGATCCTGTCAGAGTGTAAGAAGCCAAATCTTGGCTCCACTACTGTAAATGGGAAGATGCAACTTTACTTAATTAATGAAAGATCTAGAATACAGATTAGAAGTTAAAATAGTTTAATACTCAAACTATAACTTAACAAAGATGTGAAATAATTCTGAAGAAGACTCAGAACTTCAGTATCTTGGCAGAAAGTGGTAAAAAAAAAATTAAACTTTCAAATGAGAGAGCCTAGAGAGTGTAGAGCATTAACTATGAACTCTCCAAACAGGAATATTTTTCTTAAAGTTAGTATCGGTATTAACATGCAATTTAAATAGGTACTGATTTCAGTTTGACTTTCATTATACTGTTTTACACAGCTCCACTGGCTACTGTTTTACAGCTTAGCTCCACTGATTTCACATATGTACACTTAAGTTCTGCTAGTTTCAGAAAAGTAGAATTAGATGCAACAATTTTAAATCCTTTCTCAAGAAAAATGGTCCTAAATATTCACAATATAAGATATTTGTTGCAGTCTATATATATAACAACATGGCTTCAAGATTTAACTTTCAGATAATAATAGTTCTACACCTAGATTTAATTTTGGGGTCAGACCAAAGGTATTGGACAATAACAGTGGAAATAAAAACATATTTCAGATTGCTCACTGCCTGAATTTAACTCTGACAAACCATGAAAAAAAGCTGGAGAAGTGAAAATATCTTGCAGGAGAAACATTTCATCAGGAAACTCACAAAAATATTAGTGCAAGAGGGAAGTATAGAATCAGAAGCTACATTCATTTTTTTCTTCCTTAAACACCAGCTACCAGCTATTTTTAAGGTGTCGTTTGTATTCTGTTAAGCGTGATATATACTGAAGAATCACGTTTATTTGCGGACAACCACAACTGATTTGTATGAAAGCTATGAAAGCCAGCATTTTAGGTTAATAGACATTTTGCAGTTGAATACTGTAAAACATGCCACTATATAGAATTATGCGAAGTACATGCTTTGTATTTTTGTTTTCCCGTCACTGCATGCACTTACGCTGTTACGTGCTTGGTCTGGTAGGCCTACTGTGACATGGAAACTGGTGGAGGAGGTTGGACCATTATTCAGAGACGTGAGGATGGCAGTGTGGACTTTCACCGGACGTGGAAGGAGTACAAGATGGTAAACAATGTTTTCTGAAGCCTTAATATTAGTTATTATTATCTGAAAACTGATATAATAAAGTTATATTAATAGCATCCTTAGAATGTAAGCAGGTTTTAGAAGTTGTCTTTGTCCTTAGTTGTTCATTTAGGAGATGTCAAGAGTAGTATAAGTCGTTTGCCTAAGCAGACTTGCAACTGTGATGTTTGTTTTTAAAGAGAAACCTCACTTTTCTTTAATCAGCTGTTCCATAATATGGCCACATTTTCTTTGAGGTATTTATATTTGTGTTTCTAGTGGCAACAGTAGAAACTGCTCCAAAGCTACTAAGTAATAGTGATTCACTATTTCAGATTCCTGAGTTTGTCTTTGCTGAAATTAACTTTTTGAAATAATACAGATCTATAACCCTCACAGACACAGTACAATTCTTAGTTGACAGATTGAAAACTATTAAACTTGAAAACTGATAAAGTGATCATTTCAAACTCAAAGGAAAAAAACAAAACAAAGCTATTTAAATACACAACTTGAATTACAGGGATTTGGTGATCCTGCTGGGGAGTACTGGCTGGGAAATGAATTTGTTTCTCAACTGACTAATCAGAAGCGTTACGTTCTTAAAATACACCTGAAAGACTGGGAAGGAAATGAGGCGTATTCATTGTATGACCACTTCTCTCTAGCAAGTGAAGAACTAAAATACAGGTAAGCAGAAAAAATCAGATCTGAATAAAAAAGATCTGATAATAATCATTCTAGACTGTATAGATGCATGACCTTATTTCACACAAATTATGACGTCTTTTCAGTTCACTCAGAAAATAATGTTTCCTCCACTTTTCACCTATTGCTTAAAACAGTCTTAATTTTTTTTCCCCAATGGAGATAATGTATATTTCATGACTGCACACTGGGTGAGTGTAACACACAAGATGCACAAAGATGAAGAGATGGTATGGTATGGTATGGTATACATTTGCCAATATAGCGGATGGCAGCGTACAATATTCTGGGCAATGGGAACCTTGTCTGCAGTTGCTATCAAATCCTGATTCCAGGCAATAAGTACATTTCTGGAAGGTGGATGACTAAGATGAAAAGTACTGCAAGGAGATTTTCCACTTAAGTCAGTGGCTAGTAGGAGCTGTTCTGTCATCATGAAGGTAATGTCGTTACTGAGGTAATGCTACCTTCTCCTTCCATGACACACTGGCTTGGATTCTCAAAGAGTAACGCACCTACCTGTGAAAATGAAGCTAATAGCAAATGTCCAGTCTCACCCCCTACAAACGTGTCAATTTAAACACCAGATCTTAATGGACCTATTACTTATGCTCCCATCATTCTGTAAAATGTTAAGCTTCACAATTTCTTCTTACGTATTTGGTTAAAATACGAAATAACATACGTTTTTTAAAAATACAGTATATATAAATAAATATTAGCATAGTATTACACATTTTAAATAGTATCATAGTGTTATACATTTTTGAAACAGTATCAGGCACAGCTGAAATATGGGCAGTTCATACTTCATTCTCCAGGCTCTCTGTAAATGCAGTAGATATTGTTTGATTGGTTACAGAAGAAACCAGAGACTCTACAGTATAACAGATGCTTTCCTACTACATGGTCGAAGAAATGTTTCTTTATAAGAATCTTACAGATTCAGGGAGCTTTAGGTGACTGGGCAGAAAAATTGCCTAAATTTAGATTAATTTCTCCAAGATTTCTAGCAACTATTTGTTGTAAACAAAGTCAGTCTGACACTCGAGAGAACTGATACTGTTACTTCAACTCAAGTCTTATATGCAAAGCAATCCAAAACTATCAGCATCTCCCTCCCCCAAAACATGAGATCTTAATGCCTTAGTAGTATACAGTTGTCTCAACTCCAAAGCAAATATTTTTTCATCTGGAAACAGTCAGAATCTACAGCAGAGATTTTTTTAAAGTACTCCTTTAAAATACTTATAAAGGCAACCTTTGCAAAATGGGTCATTACCCTTGTCCACTTACAATATTAAAAAATAATTACTGAAAACTAAGATGGTTGTCTGTAAATAGATACTTTATTTTAAAATGCAACCAAACATGGAATGCATCATAGAATGCAGTGGATTACAGAACATATTTAACATTATGAAAAGGAAAAAAAACTAAGAAAGGATTCAATTAAGAGAAACTTCCGTTTCATTAAAAACATTAATACATTCTGAATGCTGGAAAGATTATGAGTTGGGTCATAAAACTGAAATTTCATAGATTCATAGAAAAATTGAGATCAGAATGGACTTCATTTGAGTCAAACTTCCTGATCTCAAAGCCAGGAGGTCAGGCCAGGTTGCTCAAGGCTTTATCCAGTTGGGTTTTGATAACGTCCAAAGGTGGAGACTGCACAACCTGTTCCACTGCTTGTCTGTCTTCATGGTGAAAAAGGTTTTCCTGATATCCAGTCAGAACCTTTCATTTCAATTTACATCCACTGTCTCTCGTTTTCTGTTATACTAAGCCATACTTTTAAAAATTGAATAATAATAATAAATGAATAATACTCTGCTTACATTAGACTTCAAATGATACTTGAAAATCAAGCCTTGGCTCATAGATCGTACTTGCAACCTTTAATACCATTTATTTTAGAAATTGGCTTATGGAATTTTGAACTCACCTTAAGAAAAAAACAGAATATTTAACTTTTTGAAAGGGATTTTTGGGAAAATCTGTAGTGAGCTGATCTGTTGAAACCTAAATGAATACAAATTCATTCATTCTTAATATTTTCAAATAGGGAATATAAAATGGGTTAAAAAAAATCTGTTAAACTACCAAAGATAACCTCTATCATAAGCAGAGAATTACATGCAAGATTGAAGACTGATCTGGGAACAAGTTAGTTCTCCTCAGAGTCAGATCTCCTCCTTAAACAAATAGAATACCTCAGAGAAGGATGAGCTATTTGATACAGAAATGTAATCACCAAAGAGATACTGTGGGAGCAGAGGGTTCAAGTCCTTCTAATTCAACATAACACAATAAAAGCTGTGTAATCGCCTCCCCAGTTCAGTGCCCTGTGTCTCTGCCCACTGAGATTGCATCTGCACCTGTGTAAGCAGATCCAAAGAGTAGCAGCCTCGCTGAAAGCTTACCTTGCCAGGGAACTGAAGCAAACTTAAATACCTCTGTTTTGTTTAATATCTTTATCAGTGATCTGGATGAGGGGTTCAAGGGCACCCTCAGTAAGTTTGCAGGCAACACCAAGTTGGGCCAGCATCTTGACCTGCTTGAGGGTAGAAAGGCTCTACAGAGGAATC